CTACTACTTCTACTTCTGCTGCTACTACTGATGCTGCTGCTGCTACTACTACTACTACTACTACTACTACTGTTACTACTGCTAGTACTATTAGTACATTGGCCCGGGCGGGGGGATCAAGATTGCCAAGCACCACTGTTACTTCTACTAAGTACAACAACAACAACTGCTACAACAACAAGAACAACAAGAACAACAACACTACTACTACTACTACTACTACTTCTACTACTACTACTACTACTACTACTACTCCTTCTTGTGCTACTCCTACTCCTACTCCTACTCCTACTACTACTACTACTACTACTACTACTACTACTTTGTTTGATCGGGTTGGTAATGTCATGATCTAGCGCATGGGGTGGTGGTCGTCCGTGGAGGTCATTGTGGCAGTAGCAGTCGTAGTAGCAGGTAGCAGTGCCAGTAGCAGTAGCAGTGGCAGTAGCAGTGGCAGTAGCAGTAGCAGTGGTACCCGTAGCAGTAGCAGTAGCAGTAGCAGTAGTACTAGTAGTCGTAGTAGTAGTAGTAGGAGCAGCAGCGGCAGTAGTAGCAGCAGTAGTAGAAGTAGTAGTAGTAGAAGCAGTAGTAGTAGTAGTAGTAGTAGTAGTAGTAGTAGTAGTAGTAGTGGAAGCAAGCAGCAGCAGTGGAAGCAAGCAGCAGCAGCAGCAGCAGCAGCAGCAGCAGCAGCAGCAGCAGCAGCAGCAGCAGCAGCAGCAGCAGCAGTAGTAGTAGTAGTAGTAGTATTAGTACTAGTGCTAGCAGTATTAGAAGTACTAGTAGTACTGCAGCAGCATTTGCTTTTACCACTTCTGCTAGTGTTCCTCGGAAGGCTGATGAAAATTGCGAAGTCGGCCAGGTGCTAGCAGTGGCCGGGTCCGAACGCAGTTTGAGTGTGGGAAGGTGTTTATTCTGGCAATTCTGTCGTGGCGTGCAGGGCCCTGGTAGAAGGAGCGAGGAATTTTGGGTCGAGTTGGGTGCGGAATTAAACATCTTTGAAACATTCGGAGTGCGGTCAGTGTGTGGTTGCCTCGGACTGCCAGGCCCCAAACCTGTAAGCCCCAGGCCTTAATTTCGATACCCAAACGCCAGAAGCGCAAAGCTCCAACCCAAAAACCTGAGCCCGGAATCCTGAACCCATGCAAGGCCAAGGCCGAAAACCGCCTCCCTCTGCTCCCTCAGGTTCTCGGGCCTCCGGGCGAGGGTGCGCCAGCTGCAGCCGAGGCTGGTATTGTGCGATTTCGCGGTTCGGTTTCACGTATCTTTTGACACCATGATACGGATGGTGAGAAGGTTCAGATTAAGAGGATGTTACGACTATCCTGTTATGCTCATTATCGTTTCTCCGTTTGGGTTGCTCTGTTCTTTGTACCCTTCCGGCTATTTGATGCTATTGTGATGATGTCACTATTCCTGGATTCGTTGGACAACCTGCGTTCCGTACCGTGCAAAAAGGCGGCGGCCCCGGCGGCAGCCGCCCCTGCAGCAGCGCCGGCAGCGAAAGCTGGGCCAAAGGCGCATACTTGCAACCATTGATGTTATCTTTCCTGCAAGGTGCTTAGAAGATAATTTGGAGGCAGCTTCCTGGGTCTTCGAATGTAAGCCAATGTAAGCTTTTTCATGGCACGAAAATCTGTAGATGCTTCAGGTTGGTTTTGTGGACCGGGCGTTTACGTGAGAGACTTCCATGATACTGCCGCAATGCACCATTGTCCAATTTGCATGTATTTCACTACTACATTTGCTCGAGAAGCCACGTAGCCTTAAACCCCAATCTGAAGCATGAATCTGTTTATGCCTTTTACTCGAAAATTCCGACAGCTGTCTCCAAGAGCTCCAGGCTTTAACATGCCAGAGTCAATACCATTACCCTCCTCCTCCTCGTATTGCTACTGCTGCTTCTGTTGCTGCTACTTCTTACTACTACTACTACTACTACTACTACTACTAGTACTAGTACTACTACTACTACAACAACAACAACTACTACTACTACTACTACTACTGCGACTACTACTACTACTACTACTACTACTACTACTACTACTACTACTCTTACTACCACTCCTGCTGCTTTAGGGTTTCGGTTTTAGTTGCTCCTGCTCCTGCTCCTCCTGCTGCTGCTGCTACTGCTACTGCTATTGCTCCTGCTAGTACTTCGGCTACTTCTGCTACCGCTACCTTTGACCATGACCCCAACCACTACCACTACCACCACCACTACTACTAGTTAGGCATGCTCTGATCATACATATGTAAATATGTAGTTATCATTGCTTTGAGCATGTGGGATCGTCACTGTTCTTCAAGACCCACGATGGTTGTAATTCTCACTATTCTCGTTTTGCCATCACCAACATAACCTCCCTTGCTTTTGGCATCGGTGCGGTTGGACCCACCATCCTTGCAATTGCTGTTGCTGCATTCTGTTTCCGCGGGCTGTTGGTTGCGCCCTCGGGCCCCCTTCAGGTTGATGTCGCTGTGCTTGATCTGGGCGGCGAGAGCATCACCGAGGGAGCGATTGCCGAGTGGACCGCCAAGGCCGAAGGAGCTTGCATTGCTGTGGCCAGGGTTTGGGGTGTTAGAGTGAGGAGGTTGCATGATTGTTCCCAAGACCAAGGCACCCTTGTCCCAGCGCGCAAGAGTGGACTCGCTGCCTCCCGTGCAGGTCGGGCAAAACGTGAAAAAGGACCAGGTGATAGCCACCATCGAGACCGACAAGGCACAAAGTCCCAAAGCTGACAGATGCGACATCGCTGCCCTTCGGTGGCCAAGGAGTTTTTGAAAGAATGGAACCGCCTGCTCCAAGCTTTTAAGCATTGGGAAGGTCACGGTGGACGTCAAGGCGCCACAGGATGGCCAGCTCCTCGAGATCAAGTGCCAGGCCCACTCGGACAGGGTCTTCAGACACAGGAGAGGATCCCAATGCCTTCGCAACACGCAGCGCGGCTGCAACTCCATCAACAAAACCTGAACTTTCATTTCACAAGGCGTGGAGGATTTCTGGTGCTAGACGGCTGCGATCACTATTCGCACCATTCTTGGCAGTCTTCGCTTCCTTCATACTCGTGGTGCTATCGATACTTGTCGTTGTAGAAGCAGGTACGAGTAGTCACAGCAGTAGCAGCCAAGAAGTCAGAAACAAGGTCAGCTGGCGGTAGAAGCAACAACCGCGGCCGTTGCTTGCACCATGCGACTGACGTCAATATAAAATGCCATCACGACCAGCATCAGCATATGATCTTTGCCCACACTTGTCATCATCATCGTCATTACCGGCATCAGCGGCAGTCAGCGTCATCATCACCACCATCGTTTGCATTGTCATCAGCATTACAATCTTTATCGGTATCGTCATCGCCATCGCCATCACCATCAAAATCACCGCCACCACCATCACCATCATCATCATCATCGTCGCCGCCGTCCTCATCCTCATCCTCATCCTCATCCTCATCCTCATCGGAGCACCATCATGATCATCAACAAAATTGTCTCACCAGTACTATCGCCTTCGCTCTCGCAACCAATATCACCATTGCTTCTTGTGATTCATCTTCTTCTGGCTATTCTGAATACTGGTTGCAGTGATATGGCCAACCTCTGTACGCCTGTAGTGTCCAGCAGCGATGTCAATGCTCAACACGTACGGCCTGGACACTCATGTTTGTATCCGAATCGCTTCTAGTTGCACCCCCCGGGGCAGGCGGAGGAGACTGTCGCAGTCGGTCAAGTTCTAGCAGTGGCTGATCCCAGACTTGCTTCACAAGGTTTGACAGGGTGGTTATGTTGAGCGACTGAAGCATCGAAAGGAGGCTTTCAGGGGAGGAAGCATGGGTTCAGGCTTGTGGGCAAGGCTTTAGTTACTTTGGTTCAGAATGAGAAGTCTGTTTGAGGGATACGGGGCTGGGCACCGGGGTTGCTTCGCGATCCAAGCCCCAGCCCTAAACTTTGCGTGTTTCCGAAACCTCTAACCATAAACCAGCACAAACGGCACAAACCCATGCTCAAACCCTAGACCCCGACTCTCTTTCCTCAATGTGGATTCTTGGCAGACGCCCGGATGCTGGGGAAAAAGGAGCTTAAGCAAAGCAAAGCCGAAGCCCTCAAGTCCACAAACTGAGGTCCAAGCCCAAACTCCGAGACCCCAAATCCCCCAAAACCCCCCCAAACCCCAAACCCTAAACCCTAAAGCCCGAAATCCTGAACCTTAAAACTCCGAGCCCTAAACCTTTGAAGCCCTCGTGCTCCCAAGGTTCTCGGGCCGCCTGGCGACGGCGCGCCTGTTGCAACCGAGGTGGCCACTTCGGGGATAGTTTAAATAGTATCCCTTTATAGTGGGTTTAGGGTAGGGTTTGCGGGGTTTGGGGGTTGGTTTTTGCTTTTTGATGTTTTGTCCTCGATGTAATTCTTGTGATGGACAGAAGCATGTGAAGTGAATACGTGCTCGTGTGATTCGGAGGATAACATGGGTTTATGACAGAGAGATTTTTTGTAGTTGTCAAAATTATGGTCCCTTTTGGGGTACCCTAAATAATAGGTGCCGTATTATAATAGGGACGCATAAAGGGACCATAATTTTGACAACCACCCATATGTAGTCGTAATCGTGCAGGCGACTCCAGACGACCTCTGCACGCGTATCAGCCCTTAGGCATGTTGTTATACTGGTCTCAAAGGGGCAAGCATCCTGTAGACCACTATAGTCACTGAGAGCTGCTACGCATCGAAGAATCTAAGGCTTAAGCCCTCAACAATAAATCCTGAGCCCAAGCCCTGATCCGAATGGAGGGAAGTAACATTGAGGCTGCTGCCCCGGCCGCTGCAGCCGCAGCAGCGGCACCGAAGGCGGCGCCAAAGGTCGGCATGTAAGATGGAAGCAATGCAAGTGTTTCTAAGGAGTTCTGAAGGGCTTCTGGGGCTTAATGTAGAACCCTGAGCAGTGTTCTAGTACAACTTTCAAGTCCGCAGGGTTCCTTAACAGTTTAACATAAGTATACTATACGGTCCAGCCACACCCACCCCCTCTCGCTGCGACCCAGCTCCCGATGTGAAAGAAAACCTCAACAGCCCTGCTTCTTGAAACCCTAAACCCTTAACCCCGGGCCCAAGGAAGTGGTGAGCAGGCTCCTCGGAGCCAAACCCCACAAGGCCGAAGGTTGGAAACTGGTGACGGGGCAGGGTTGCGACCCCTACCTCGTTGGCTACGTGACCTTTGTGGCCACCGACGCAGCAAAGGTTCTACAGGCATCCGGCAAGAACGGCCTCTTCTCGGAGCCTTTAGCAAGAGATCAGGCTTGCAAGCCTTTGGTCCAATGGTGTGACACTGGGGATCTGGTTGGGATAGCCTACTTGCGGAGATGCCTCCAGGAGGCTGCCGGCCAACCTCTGGCCTTGAGGAAGGGGCAGGGAGCATGCATAGGCATCCGGGCAAAGTGCGGCGAACCGGTGCAGGCCAGGAACACCTGGCGCGTGAGAGGCGTCCCGAAGGCCCTGCTGGGGGCTGATTTTCTCAAGGTCGAGGTTCTCAGCGAGGCTCAGGGCAGTAGGCCGTGGCTCATTCGAGCGGAGCAAACCAACGACCGCGGTGAGCTTGCGATGTTGGTGGAAGCCGGTGACAAGACCTTGCGCATAGAAAGGGTCATCGGCAGGCAGAAGGCGGGCAACTTCTCGGAGAAACAGTGGCTGCCGCCACGGCAAGGCAAGGGAAAGGCTCAGGGTAAAGGCAAGGCGACTGAGGCCAGGTCCGATCCCGCGCACACACCCATGACACTTGACCTCGAGGACGACGAGGAGAGGGCGCGGAGCACCGCCGCAGCCGCCGCAGACGGCCTGCACCAACAGGCCACAGGTGACTCAGCAACCCAGCCAGGCAAGCCAGCAGGCCAGGGGGCCTCAGGTGAGGGTTCGGATAGTGCCCCTAGGCCCACCCCTTTCCCTAAGCGCCAGCGGGTTGCCCTCTGGGATGAGTTAGAGTGCGGAGCTGCAGGGCATTGCTTTTTCAATTGCGTCACTGCGGGCTTTGTCCTGAAGACCTCACGGTCTGCTTTCGAAGACATCAAGGATGACTTGAATGCCAAAGGCCGTGGGCTGCGCAGCCGCGTGGCCTCTTACATCCAGGGACATGAGGACCGCTTTAGGCCGTGCTTCGAACCGAGCTGTGTGAGCCCTGACTCTGCAGACACAGCCGCGGAGGCGGCTCACTTGAAAACCATGGAGGACGGTGCGCCCCCGAGCACTTGGCAGGAGTACTTGGCGGCCATCTGGCGTCCTGCAAGATGGGCCGATGAAATCAGCTTCAGGGCTGCTGCGGCATTGCTGGGAATCTCCCTGCAGTTGGTGTGCGGCAAATTGGAGAAGCCAGACCAGGTGCTCTCTTACACGAACCCTAAGTCGGCGACCACCATTTTCCTGCATTACTCCCTTGGGCACTACACTCTCCTTATCCCGAGGGGAGACAAGTTGCCTCACTACATCAACCAGGAGGCCGCTGCACAAACAGCCTCACAGGCATTCGCCCCCCGGGGGGGTGGCAAACGGCACCACGGAGCGCCTCAGGCCCCTGCACTCAACAACGCGGACGACTCTTGGATCCCTGCACATGTGTCCTCTGAGGATGAGAGTGCTCCACAGCAGCCTGCACCCAGGCCCGACAAGCCACGGCCAGCGAGTGTTAAGCGCACAGGCCTTGGTGCACAACGTGTTGGAACGGCTGGAAGCCAGCCACGGCAACATAGAGCCAAGGGCAAGCGCATGCCTCGTCCGACCGCGCAGCAGCGCAGCCTGCGCATGAAGGGCATCTCCACTGCAGTGAGCAAGGCTCGCCAAAAACACTGCACGGTAGGCCGGAAAAAGCAATGGACCTGCAACATCTGCAATTTGGAGGTCAAGGCAGGCTCCATGAGACAGCTGTCGATTAGCCGCTATGGGCACATTAAGCGAGTGCACCCACGAGTGCCCCTCACCGACATCAGGTCAATCATTCCGGTGGTGCCGACCGTCTTGGACACGGCACAGCCTGCCTGGATGTGTGGCTACTGCCATACCTTCTTGCCAAGGTTAGCCTCGCCTTGCGCAGTGAACAAGTCAGCCAAGGCTCACCTTAAGCGCTGTGACCTCGCTCCCGCCGAGGCCACCCTGACCCAAAACCTCAGACAAATCCTGACGGCTGCAGGCATCGTACCCCCAGCCCGGGGAGCTGATCTGAGCCAGACTTTTGGGAGGAAGATAGACCTTGAGCAGTACAGGCCAACCTCCAAGGAGCTCAAGGAACTGACCGCTGAGTGTAAACGGGACCCCTTGCCGCCCGTACGCCGCGCCTTGGCAAGCAGGCATTGTGCTATGCACGGCAGCCAGCATAACCAGGGAAAGAAGCGAAGGAGTGCGCCACAAGCGTCGTCCTCAAGGGACCCTAAACCCTAAACCCTAAGCCCTAAACCCTAAAACCCTAAACCCTAAAACCTTCAACCCTAAACCCTAAAACCCTAAACCCTAAACCCTAAACTGAGGCACGGCCTCCGTTGTGCTACGCGTAGCCGTGCCGCAGCGACGCGTTTCCCGACGCGTCGCAGGTCCGGAGCCGTCTATCGCGAAGGACCCGCGCGAAGCGAGCGCGCTGCGGCCGTCCAGTGCCGCGCCACCCAGCCCGTTTGCTGTGGTGGCAATAGAATGTATTACC